TTCATATTCATTCTATAAACGTTATAAATGAAAAACATATTATTTCTTTGATATGAAGATCATAAAATTATAAGTGCTATTTATATAAATGTGAAAATCTTGATGCTAGATATATCAATAAATTAAAATAGGTGCTATTTATGTAAATTCCAACCAAAGAAAAAACAAAAAAGAAGGTACGCTGGTAGTAGGCTCGTAGCACTAGAGACAGGGGAGCGCAATCATTCCCTGTCCATAAAACCAGACATGGTCGTGCTAATCCATGGCAGCCGAGCTCCAAAGACGAAAAAAAAAGCTTCCTTTCTCCTTTCTCTTCCCTCGAAGCTCCTCCCAAAGCTTCCTTCCTTCCCCCGCACAGCTTCCATTGTTTAAACCAGCCACAAAACTTGCTCCTTTACGCACAGGACAAGACATGTCTTCCATTCCTCAGCCCACAGTGCTGTATCCTCAGCCATTGTCGGCGTCTGCCCACTCCAACGGCTCCTATGGCCCCGTCTTCGCCGTTCTGGCGGCAATCGCCGTGCTTTCCGTTGCAGCATGTATCGTTGCAAGGCTCTGCGCTCGCCGCATCTGTCAGCCGAGTGCAGGAACGGACAAAGGAGATGTTGAGAACAGGTTTGATTTCTCCGGATTTCCTGCAGGCAAGCTGGCCAGGCATGGCGTGAGGTCTGAAGCTGCATGGCATGGGGGTAAGAAAGGGGAGGGTGCTGCAAAACATGCAGAGATTAATGGAGCCAAATCAGGGGGTTATGTGGGAGGAAGCGCAGGAGCTGCAAGGGCAAGTGCGTGATGATGGGAGTTTGTAGTTTTTAAATCTCTAAGACGTTTTAGTTTTTTGTTTTGATTTCAGCTTGAGGAAGCATTCTTCTACTTCAATTACTTGTATGCATTTGTTTTTTGATGTGTAGTTTGCCATGGAATGTATCTGATAGAAGTAATAAAACAGAGGAGATTTTAGAAATCGGTAGATTAAAAGCTTAATTAAATTATACAGCTAGCTTTTAAGAGAAAAAAAA